TCTGGTTACCGATGCTCTGACGGGCTGGGGAGCTCCCGGCAGCCCCACACGGGACAGGGGCAGTGACACACACGGGGCTCTGGTTACCGATGCTCTGACGGGCTGGGGAGCTCCCGGCAGCCCCACACGGGACAGGGGCAGTGACACACACGGGGCTCTGGTTACCGATGCTCTGACGGGCTGGGGAGCTCCCGGCAGCCCCACACGGGACAGGGGCAGTGACACACACAGAGCTCCGGTTACCGATGTGCTGGATTTGCTCCTTGATGACTTCGCACTCCACTGGCCAGCGTGGGGCCTGCAGGGGGCCTCTCGAGGTGGGCACAGCAAAGAGACCCCGTGGCTCCCGCAGGCGTGGGACCCCAGGGCCCTCAAGGTGATTGAACAGAAGCTGTTTGCTCTTGAGAAGTGCGGCCTCCAGCATGAGAGAACCTGCAAAGAGAACAAGCACAGGCACTAGGGACTCCGCAGAACGGTGCATGGCCGGACGCCCCGATTTCACGGTGCACACACACAGCAGAGCCTCGGCCCTGGCACTGCTAGCAAAAGGCTCGTGCAGGGGACACAAACATACCTGGCACCCGTGTCTCAGCAGCAGCAGACTCTGCCAACCAGGCGGAGGTACAGTACCTGCCACGGCCAGTGGGCTACAGAAATAAGCACCGCCCAGCACTCCCAGGGACGTGCCGCCTAGGGCAACGCAACCAGTGGGCTAGGAGAACTGGTACCAGCTGCTCTTCAGCTGTGGCTCTGTGATTCAGGGCCACTCGGCCACAGGATACACCAGAGTTGCATGGGGGCAGCTGTAGCTTGGCTACTTGCGGAAGGTCTCTCAGGGAGTGTATCCCAACGGAGGATTAAGCCCGCTGGCGCATCCCTCTGCCTGCCCGGCCCCGGGGACGCCCTTCTCCCTTCCTAGGGCTTGGGGGAGCCGGCTGGCCTGGGTCTGCAGAGCCGCCTGCACCAGCAGAGCCCCCTGGCATACACTCACAAAGGGTTTGCCCCCCGTACAGCCATTGTGCTCTATGCTTTGGGGGGCAGTAGCTCCCAGGGGCCCAGCCACAGCCCAGCACCTCATTGTGCTGGCTACTGTGCAGACACAGCGCAGTTCCGTGTCACAGAGCTGTGTAGGCACAATACCACACTGCAGGCCAGCGGCCGACTCCCAAGCCCAGCGCTGGGCGCATTAGTAGTGTCGCCACCGAGTATCCACTTTAATCAATTGTATTTTTAATGAACTTTCTATTAACAGGATCTCCAAAGCAGCTTTGCCTTTGGGGCGTTAAGCCAGACGGCCCTCCCTGCCCCCAGTCCAGCCACAAGGTGACAGCCCGGCCAGTTCCCACTGTGTGTTGCGAGGCCCTCACTGACAGGGAGGGAGTGTGAGCACGAGATGTGGGAATGAGCAGGGCACAATGACACTGTTATTGGCCTAAAGGCAATGGGCTCAAGGCATGCCAGGGGGAGTGTCAAGGCCTTACCTGCCAGAGAGCCATCTGCAACCCACTGGCCGTTTCCCCAGGGTAGGGCTGGAAGGAGGCTGCTTTTGTGAGAGCAAGTGGCCTTGCAGTTTAAGACAGAGGCTCCCAGAAGTGAACCCAAGGCTAGGCCTGGCTACCCTCACCCAGGACCAGACTATGCAGCTGGGGTACAAACCCCAACTGGATCCTGCTCCCTGAAAAAGAGCTCTGGGAGGGACAGTGGGGCATTACTGGCTCCAATGGCAACCCGAACAAGCCAGGTGAGTGAGGACGAAGTGGGCTCCTGGTTGGGTCATCCTGACAACAACCAAACCACTGACTCCCCCCTTTCCCTTGGCCAGTCCCGGAAAGGGCAGACAGACAGCACAGGGCAGCCAACTGAGCAGGGGACGACACCCACTAGCATGAGCTACAGAACCAGAGAACAGTGCCTGTCTGCTCAGACTGCAGTTCTGATGGGCTGCGTAGCTCCACAGGCCAAGCCGGCCGCAGAACAGCGTCTTTTCCCAAAGGGGTTTCTTTTTACGTTTGGAGTCTTTTCTAGGATAACTGTGGGGATGCCTGCAACGAACTGTTTTTACCTAACCTTCCCGCGTGCGTGTGTGTGTGAAGTAATCGCACCATGCTGCCAAGTCCATATTAGAAAGTCATCACACCTGGATTTACCTAACTCCTAAGCAAGCTGACCCAGATCTCACTGTGCTGCCCTGGCTCTGTGCAGGTGTTAGCGAAAACCACTCTGCCCGAGAGGGGAACCTGGGGGCTGGCCCCATCGCACTGACAGGAAGTGGAGAGATTAGTTGAGCAAACCATTGCATTCTTAGTGCTTCAAAGAGAGGCAGCAAAATTTCTAGGGCTAAGAAGGAGGCTGCCCTATGCCGGAGAGTCTAAGGGTCTGTGGATAAGGCTGTGTTCGGCGGGTTGCATGATGTGACTGACTGCGATCATGCAAGGATTTGATCAATTGTTGATCTCAATCTATTTTCGTGTCACAGTTATTCATTCCCACTTATGCTATTGGTAGTTCCTTGATGAAGCTATCAGATCCCCACTGGAACCCCCACTGGATTGCTGCATTGGTGAGCGTTGCAGGGAAGTACAGCAAATTCGTTAGCTTTACGTTTTCTTGTTTGTGTTCTCAGTAAAATTCATAAAAAGGACAGCGGATTGGTTTTCTCTCACTGAATGTCTGGGAGGCCCAAACAACCTATAAAGGTGTCTGAGTCACTAACCTGCACCAGAATTAAACCCCATTACCGCTACACGATATACAGTAGCCATTCTTTGCCAAACCTCCTAAATAGGGTAGACAAGATTTCACAGCCTTGATCAATCTACAGGGAAAAGACAGGCAGAAAACACTGGATCTTCTTTATGACCTGCCCAAGCATGGGCCCCTGCCACTGCCCCCACCTTTGCAGATCCCCTTTATAAAGAAACCCTCACTAGAAAAGGGGACAGTGCAATACTGGGGTGAGATCTGGACCTCCCCAACTCTGGATTTTATACAATTTATTCTCCACGCTCCTGGGGCAACCATCCACCTCCCCAGCAGTCCACTAACAGGCCATTCCCTCGCAGCTCGGATAGATTCTGTGTTGCAACAAATCCCATATCTGGGGAGGTTTCTCCCAGCTCTTCAGGGAACACCAATTGCTCTTCCCCAGATGCATGGTCTTGCAAAGCTTTCAAATAGCGCTAGCTCACTCTGATGTCATCTTTCCTTTACCTAGCCAAGGTGCAATCCCCAGCAGCGTGTTCTATGAATTGATGTTCATAACCTCTGGGTGAGGGTTGCTCTATGGTTCCCCAGCTAGCCCACTAACATGGGTGTTTACAGCTCACCGTTTGCTGTGGACCCGATCCTCCCCCTCCGTCCCGCCCCTGCTGTCTCTTTCCAACCTAACGCAGCCCCTGAGTTGCAGAGAGCGGCTGAACTGAGCCACTGGTTGTCATGGCCAAAGGAAACCCAGCTCCTCACGCTGAGTAGCTCACTCACAGATCAGCTTCTTCTTCTTATCCTGAAGGGAATCGCGGTTGGATCCTCCACTCTCCTGCTCCAGCAGAGAGTCTGAGCTCTTTGGCCTGTGCTCTCGTGGCACGAGGGAGCTGCTTTCTGCAATTTTCTCCTCATCTAGGAAGGGATGTTGCTGTCAGTGCTGGGGACGCTCCATTTCTTGGGACATTTCAAGCTAGCCTGGCCACCGTGCTGTAGGGAATGATGCAGCACTGCTCCTGGAGGGTGGGCCAGATGGCACCCAGCAGGTCTTCCCACCTACAGCTACCCTGCTTCTGAGCACTAGGGAGAGAAGGGCTAGTGGCTGTAGGATCCTCTCAGGGGATCTCAGTCATTTAACATGAAAAGGCTAGCCAGCTGCCGGGTGCCGGAGAAGGCACTCTGCCCCACTGAGAACAAGTTCCTGGTCCCATGGTTCCCTATAGGCCCAGAAAGAGCCTGCAGTTACTAGAAGCTTGAATACTAGCCAAGGCATATTCTGGCAATACAGGGAGCTATGTGATCAGAGACTCAGTCTTGTCTCAGGAGCAGAGGACTGAGTTCGGATCCCGCCAGGGTGCAGACTTCGCTCCAGAGCTGCCAACCTTCAAGCGAGACAGTAGGGACACAGCCCACTCCACAGTCACACGGGTCTGCCTGCTCCAGCACCAGCCTACCAGAGAGGTTAAAGGCAAAAAGGACCGCGCTGCACTGGTCCCCTTCTAACAGCACTCTGCCCAGACAGTATCACACACTGCGGCCCTGGGCACTCAGCCAGCCGCCTGTTCTCCTTTCGGCGGGGGGGGGGGGGTTTCCGTACAGCGACGGGGGAGGGAAAACCTTTGTAAACTGCCTAGCCCTTCAGTTGACAGTGTCCCCTTCCCACAGCTGTCCCGGCATGCTGTGCCCAGCGCAGGATGGCAGTCTAGAGGGAAGGGGGGTGAAGCCCAGAGGCATCCAGTGGGCTTTGAGTCACTGTTTGCTGACCAGTGAAAGGTCCTGGGCCGGTGAACAGCAAGCTGCCCCAGCTGCTCTTACCTCTGAAGTAGCCATAGTACTGGAGATGGTGATGCATGAAGCTCTCATAGGGGTCTGCGAGCAGCTGGGGAAGGAAAGGGAAGGGAAAGTGAGAACCAGGCCCCCATGCCTATAGATACCAGCACACAGGAATTTAATGAACAAACAGGTCAGAGTGTACACGGCCAATCCCTTCTAGGCACAGTCCCCCAGTGCCTGCCCCTTGACCTGTGCCCGTCCACCCCTGATGCCATCCCTTTTGCCTGGGGCCCCCACTGCTCCACTCTCCTTGTTGCAGTCCCCAATGGCATGGCCCCATAGGCTGGAAGGATCCCACTCTCCCCCCTAGGCCCAGTTCAGCAGGGCTGGGCTCTGCACTAACCTCAGGGGTTGGCTCCTGGGCTGGACTCATGACAGGCAGCGGTGACAGCTCTGACAGACACTAGGGGGAAGTACAGAAACCAGTCACCAAGGGGGCTGGAAGGGACCTGAAAGCCCCAGTCCCTGACCAGACACACACCAGGCCTCCCATTCTACCCCTCTCTCCCTCACTCCATGAGGTGAAACCCAACTCTGCACTATCCCACCCGCCCCGTCTCTCACCAGCTCCCTAGACCCTGAGAAACCATCCCAACCCAGGATCCAGGGCAGAATCCTCAGAGTGGAGGGCTGGTTCCCAGAGATAGGGCGTATCTGCCAGGTTATCAATGACATACACAGCCCACGCCGCTCATCCGGCCAACACCTGCCCCACAGGGCTCTGTGCTCCAGGGGCCCCAGCACCTCCACTCTGCACCCCCAGCACCGCTTATCATGGTCATCGCCTGCCCCACA